ATATTTTTTTGCTGTTTTGTTTGAGTTTTTTACGGAAAGTGACAGTTCGGCCAAAGTTCTTTACCGTGTGAGAAAAGTCGTGTAGTTTTGAAAAAAGACGGAGAATGAGAGCAGTGTCCAGTGTTCTGAGAAAGACCCTGATGCCTGTGTGAACTCATGATATAGAACCAACACTAGAACAGGCAAACAAGTCAATCAGAAATCAAAACATTTTTCAGAAAAAAAATAAAAATACATAAATAATGTTAACCCTCTCAGGCTCAAATTAAGTTTTAGTAACAGGAAAAATCTGATATTTGGGGAAAATGATCATATGGTGTAGTAATATACAATCCTGACTTTTTGTTTGAGAGAGACCTTCACATGCAGTGCGTTCTGGGATGTTGCAGATTTGCAGCATTGGCCCGGTGTGATAAATTAACAGAAGACTGAAAATGATACGAATGCTAACTTTATTTTCACAACAATAAAAACAAAAAGCACAGTGTAACAGTGCTTTACAATGACAGAACAGAATCAGAACAACTTGGTATAGATCACTTTTTCATGTGGTACTCCAAGAAACAATTTAATCCTTTGTAAATGAGGAGAAAATTCAGTTTGTCGACTGGACAAAAGTTAGTTGGTTGAAGAAGTTTCGCAGCTTCTTCAGTTCAGACGCTGGTGGACACTTCCGTATATCTGCAGGGAGGAGCGAACTAACTGAAACAAATTGACCTGTACAGGGTGTGGGGTCTAATTAGCAAAACAAGACCCCACACTCTGTACAGGTCAATAGGCCGAACCAACTCACAGAAACAAGTGTGTGTGTTAGTTTCAGTGTAGTTCGCTCCTCCCTGCAGACAGATATGGAAGTGTCCACCAGCGTCTGACCAGAACTGAAGAAGCAGCTTGGATGAGCTGTGAAATGTCTTCAACCAACTAACTTTTGTCCAGTCGACAAACTGAATTTTCTCCTCATGGATTCTACCTGGACGACTGAGGGATTCTTCACATATCCTTTGTAAAACACTAAAGTACTTTGCACTTCTGTCAGGCCGTTTGCGTGGAGCCATTCTTACACAGTCTGCATCATCCACGTTTATCAGCATGGATGGGAAAAAAGGCTCCTGAGTAAAAAAATATGGATGTGGAGTAAGTAGGTAATTGGCATTTCGCTGTTGCAAATCTGCAACGTCTGCCTGGAGAAAGACTTTTAGTGTCACAGCCATGATTTTTTATTGAACCATATTGAATCAGTTTGAAACATATGGCCTATGTATCTTAATCGGTAACTTCTTAACAATACCCAGCCCTAATTAGGAAGTGCACGTTATTTGAGATTGACGTGGGTTTTTTCATGGCCAATGCTGATACTGTTTATTTAGAATCCAGAGAAATGGATGGTCACTTTTGGGTCGAAGTGTAAGGCTGATTTTGATCATTTTCAGTATACTAAAGGCTGTCACACACTACAGGAGAAATTGCCCGATTTTTGCTCAGATTTTTTTCTTCCTGAATTCCAGGAGGCGTGACCCGACTTTGTGTGTTCATGTGCGATTTTGAAGCCACTGCTCCTAGTGTGTGTGGTATCAGTGTCAGATCATAAACACCAAACATCAGCAACGCTACAGTAACAGCCAAAAAAACAGAGCGTCAGGGGCAGATGGAGTGACGGACACAGAGACGCAAGATACTAACTCGGGATATACTTTACTCCTCACCTCTCGTAAAGTGGAAAACTTAAAGTGCAGCATCTCATCCACGTTATCCATAGAAAATGTCCTTCGCAAATAATGACATCCAGTCCACAAAACAGCACTATTACTCCAGTTTAAGGCGTTGTTTAAAAGTAAAAAGGCAATAGTAGTTCCTCATGTGTTTCTGTTTACATTCACACAGCGCACAGATCGAGGTGAAGCTCTGTCAAAACGGAAGAAGCTACGCGGATGAGTGACAAAACACATTCACTCTAAAAAAATAATAATAATTGCAATTTACATACAGTGATGTTTGAAATGTTTTTGGTTTTTTTTTCTTGAATGATTTGAAGCGTCACACATCTCATCCAAGCCTTTAAGTGAACAATTTCCATGCAAAAGAATACATTTTCTGAATATTCATGGTATGAAAATGTAATCCAATGTATATCTGATTACAGTGACTTATTACTTGTTTTCTTTCTTTTTTGTCTCCTCTCTTGCTGTGGCCTGACAACAATTCTTCACCACTTCCTCCTAAAAGGTAAGAAACTGTTATTTAAATGCCATTTTTGTTGTGCCTAAAAATAATGACTTGGCCAGATATTTTCCTGTAATTTTCAACCACAAACTCTCAAAATAGATTTTTTATTTTCTTTTTTGGTTTTGTTTTACACTCACTCGTAAATGTGAATGCTTGTCCCTGGATCATTTTGGCGTTTCTCTCTACTTTGATATCGTGTTTTTACCTTGTTGTACTTTGCAGAGGTGGGTAGTAGTACTTGTGTAATATGTGGGTAGTAACTTTAAATTAAACTTTTCATACTTTGACTCCGGGTTCCCACGGTCATGGAAATCCTGGAAATATCATGGATGAATGTCATTTTTTGTCATTAACCCTCTTAGGCTCAAATAAAATTTTAGTAACAGGAAAAAATCTGATATTTGGGGAAAATGATCATATGGGGCAGTAATATACAATCCTGACTTTTTGTTTGAGAGACCTTCACATCCAGTGTGTTCTGGGATGTTGCAGATTTGCAGCATTGGTCCGGTGTGATAAATTAACACTGAAGACTGAAAATGATATGAACGCTAACTTTATTTGTAAACCACTTTTCATAAAAATGAAAACAAAAAGCAGAGTGTAACAGCTTTACAGTGACAGAACAACATCACTTTTTCGTGTGGTTCTCCAAAAAACAATTTTTATCCTTTGTAAACAACAAAAGTACTTTGCACTTCTGGCAGGCCGTTTGTGTGTAGTCATTCTTGCCCAGTCTGCATCGTCCACATTTATCAGCATGGATGGGAAAAAAGGCTTCTGAGTAAAAAAAGCTAATAAAATATGAATTTGGAGTAAGTAGGTAATTGGTATTTAGCTGTTGCAAATCTGCAACACCTGCCTGGAGAGGGTTAAAAGTTTGAAAGCTTGGTTACAATAATGAAACTTGAGGAATTAAACTTAAAAACAGAGTTAAGTTGTTTTTTTTTAAACAGTACTGGCCAGTCAGAGCAGGTGATACAGAAAAAAGGAGCAGAGAGAGGACTGGGACATGCTGTACTCACTTACCCCTGACTTTAAATGTAATGGAAAATACAAACAAACAAAAACTACTCAGTAACATTAACTAGAGTATTGCTCCTTGTTGACAGTGCTGCAAACCCTTGGCCTCCATTTGAAAAAGGTTTTGGTGCTGTCTTCCTATAAATCAGCAGAGCGACACGTCACAGCAACATCACGAGACTCAGAGGAAGAGTGCAGGGAGCAGACTAACCTGTCAGGGATGAAAAGAAACTCTTGGGCTGAAAAAAAAAAACAAAAAACTGAATAACTTAAGACTGATTTACTTCAGTTGACCCAGAAAGTCTCATAATGTTTAAGTTAAGTTGTTCCGCAGTTATTGGTGATAAATAACAGCTACATAACTCTCTTGGTTCAGTTCTGTCTTATTTTATTTTTGTTTTGAAGAAATAAAGTTTTCAATCTCTGCTCTGGTATTGGTCAATATCAGGTATTGGCAGATATGACACCTCCGCAGAAACAAGCAGGTGTTGGACCCCCCACCAAAAAGTTACATAATGCATCTTTATTCATACTTCATAAGAACATAACAACTTTGTTCTTGTTCTTGATAAGAACAAAATTCGTTTGGGCTCAGACATTTTATATTTCAATAGATGTTCTGCTGCCGAACTGCCAAGCCCTCTCACTCTGCCCGCCCTCACTCTGCCCCGCCCTCTCACTCTGCCCCGCCCTCTCACTCACTCTGTCCCACCCTCTCACTCTGTCCCACCCCCTCGCTCTGTCCCGCCCCCTCGCTCAGCCCCACCCCCTCTCTGCCCCGCCCCCTCACTCTGCCCCACCCGCTCGCTCTGCCCCGCCCCCTCGCTCTGCCCTTGGTATTTGTTTTTGGTGACCCACCTTTTGGCTTTTACAAACTTGTCACAGAGATTACATTAAGCGTCATGTCGTATAGATATTTATATTTTCTCACCATTTCCTCCAGCTGTGACTTAAAGGTTGTATAGAGGATTTTCCAAGGAACGAGAAATCCAGCGACTGTTTGTCCTTTTTCAAATGTTGCGCATGCGTGAAACCACCTCCCCTCCCCTACAGCTCCTACGTAAAAACGCCTTCTCCCGCCTCCTCCTTACGCCAGAAACAGGTTTGTTTACAGCCGGTGCGCTGCACATGACTTGTAAACAACTAACTACAGTGTTGGTTAGGCAAGACGGAGAAGTGAGGAGCGGGGGGAGGGGGTGTGCGGACATTTCGTGCGCGGACGAGAAGTGAGGAGCAGGGAGAAGAGCGGAGCGGAGCAGGGAGAGGAGAGAGGAGAGGAGAGAGGAGAGAGGAGAGAGAGAGAGGAGAGGAGAGAGGGGAGCGGTGCGCGGAGATTCCGTGCCCAGAGAAGTGAGGAGCAGGGGGAAGAGCGGAACGGGCAGCGGGGAGAGGAGCAGGAAAGGGGTGCAGAGAAGGTTGTGCGGAGATTCCGTGCGAATGAACTAGCTACAACACGCAGCAGCAGCAAGCTCTTTCTTTGCCTTGAAAATTACGTTTTCAGACATAGGATATCGCTTTCGTGTCCTGAAAAACGTTTGACTAGCTCTTGGAAATAAAGTACGTTTTCATAATAAGCAGAAGTTTCCTGTCCAGGAGTAATTTGTGGACCAGTGCGTCAGTCTTTAGACCCTGCGTCTGCTTCAGTTGCGCCATCGCTGGAATGAATCTTCAAGAATCACCTTAGTTTGGCTTCGCTGCTTTTCCCCTTGTCTTCTTCTTTCAGCGACCTCAAAAACGGACTTTCTTTTGTGGCTAACTGCTCCTGGATTTTTGTCTGCCATTGCAACAAACTTTGTGCTAACTGCGAGGAAGATATAGGTCAAAAAAAGCCGCTAAGAACTGTTGTGTTGGTGGAGTAAACAGCGTCTGTGCGTCTTGCGTCTGTGGACTGCGTGACAGGCGTACGTAAGCCACGTAGGGAGTTTGATTGACAGCCTGTCAGCTAACAGATAACGAGGCAGTGTCGTTATCTATTGGCAAAAGTTTAGCCCCACCACGTCCAGAGTTGATGAATTTTTATTCTCTTTTTTTTGGTCATCATAATTACAAGGCTACTGCATCTCTATAATGTTATCATTGACAACAATTGACAACTTGAAACAAAAAAAAATCCTCCATACAACCTTTAAACCATCCTTTTTTTTTTTTTTTCTGGCTGTGGACCGACAAAGAAGCAGAATCATGCCCACATAAATAACCAAGCAGAGTAAAGATGTTGGACAACACTGCCGAAGTGCCAAACAAAGTTCTGCTTGGCTGCGGTGTCAAGAACAAGCCGAGAATACAAAATGATTAAGTTCTTATGTTCTTATGAAGTATAAACAGGCCTTTAAACATTTTCCCAAATCTTGGGTTTTAAATGTGATTTTTGGTTTATGGTTATTAGTTTGCACGTAGCTGGTTCTGCGAAGTCTTTGAACTCTTAATATTTAAATTTTCCCACAAGTCTACGGGAAACTGAACCGAAAATGTACTTGTGGAATCAGAGAAGACTTGGAAGGTGGTGAGACTGTGGAGCTCCAGAGCCACTGCAGAGCTCTTACCATCATCACTTCTCACCCCAAAACCATGTCTGGAGATTTTGAACCACCTCTGGTCCTTTATGCGTTTGTATATGGTTGCATGATCTACACGCATGTTCCTTTCCAAAATAGGAGAGGATCACCTTGTACTCCCTCGTCCATTTGAAGTAGTCCATGTACTCCTCTGGATGATTGTCGAGATAGTGCAGTCTCTGGGCCAGTTCCTTGGGGCTGGCAAAGTCATTGACATGGATGAAAGCCTTCTCTGGGATCTGCTCCTGGTAATTTTCTCTGGGAGGACCTAAGACAATGGGCACACTCCCAAACAACAGCGGACTGAACACTTTTTCCGTCATGTAGTCTTTGGCGACCGAATTTTCAAACGCAAGGTAGAACTTACATCCTGATATGATGTCCGTGTAAGCTTGGTCGGACAACAGACTTCCGAATGCTTGGCCGTAGGTGTTAATGTCAATGTAGTTTTTCAGTTTATTGTAATACTGGATCCTTTGAAAGTGGCTTTTCCAGTTGCTTACAATCCAGCACACTAATTTGTCCTTTGTTGGAAGCTTGAAAATCGGATCATAAGAACTGCGTGGCACCACGTATCCGTATGGCACTTGGATGGTGGAATCCGTGCGGTAGTTACATGTGAGGTTGAATATATGGTTTAGTTTGGGGTTTACAGCTGTGTTTGCCGGCGATTCCATGTTAAACCACACCCATTTCTGGAAAGACGGTCGTGGAATTATTGGAAGATCACGCACATCCAAATGATGGAAAAACACACCATCTGCGGCAAGGTACATGTTTCTATTGTCAGTCAAATGGCACTTACTGATGCCATAAACACTGCAGTCTGTATCAAACTTGTTTCCAAAGGGCCATGTCCAGATGAGAAGTATGGTGTCCTTTTTGATTTCATATTCTAAATTTATGTTGCTGTTGTTCCAACGGGGATGCAAAAAGGTGACAAACGATGGGAGCTTCATGTCCGTCATGTCGGAGTGATGGTAGGAGTAGAAGAGCATGAGGAACCCCAGCATGAGAAGGTTACTGAAGACAAAGAGACGAAGACAAGTCCACTGGCTGGGGACAGACATGGCTCATCTGCAGAGGACAAACAAAGGACATAAATTAGGCCAATGGTGCAATTCTCTCAAAGAGAGACCATCACTTTGTGATGTCATGTGGTAATACAAGAAGTGCTCCACTGTGTTTTTAAACTCCACACACCTTCACTAGAATGGTTTGGATGATTTCAGCCCTGGATTTGTCAAACTCTATAAAACAAACAGTTTTAAGTTGTTCACTTGAAATCTACATGACATCACAAGGTGGAACAGAGTATTTTGACCTTTGACCATGTAGACAGACTAATAATAAAGAGTTACTCAAACATGTGTAAATGAAACAAAACACAACTCGTGTGTTTTTGAGGAGGTAACAACATTCTAACATGACTTAAAGCTCACACGAGTCAGTTGTGTGTAATATAAGTCCTTTAACCAATGTTTGTATTTATTGTCACAATTATGTCATAGAATAACAGATTTAAAGATGCATTGTGCAAATTTTTGTTGAGGGTTCGTCACCTGCTCGTTTCTTTGGAGATGTCATTGTTCTGCCTGGAATGTTCCACACTACGACATTAAACAGCTCTACTTCACATTTACAGTAGTCAATTACAGGTGGTTTTACAGATCAAGAATATCAAAAAACAGACATTCTGACTGTGAACAGGAGTCGCCTCTCCACAGATCTGACCTGTAACTTGGTCTGCTTTGGTCTGCATGAAGAGAAAGGTTTAATGCCATACTGTGAGACATTCCAGACAAAGTAATAACATGTCCAAAAGAAAAGTTACATAATGCACTTTTAAAGGTGCACTGTGTAATTTGTCTGGTTGAGGCTCTGTCACCAGACTTGTCTTCTCCTGGCCATACATGCTGGTCAAAGTCTGATCCCGTCAGATCTCAGAAGCTCAGTGGGGTCGGGCCTGGTCAGGACTTGGAAGGGAGATCGCAGGGAAAATCAGGAGCCACAGTGGGGCACCAGTCGCAAAAACTTCGTCACTGTGTCCTTAGGCAAGACACTTCACCCACATTGCCAAGTATGAATGTGGTGTGTGCTGGAGTGATGGTGGTTGGAGAGGCTGATGGCACAGCCACGCTTCTGTCAATTTGCCCCAGGGCAGCTGTGGCTACAATAGTAGTTTACCATCACCGAATGTGGAGTGAATGAACAGCGCTCTGTAAAGTGTCTTGGAGTGTCCAGAAAAGTGATTTATAAAACTGATGCAAGGGAGATGTGTCTAGAATGTTCTACAATATGGTCATAAATTAAGAATCTCCGTGGACACATTGACCCCACTCACAGTAAGTTTTTTAAGATATCTTTGAGCAATAAAAAACACCTGTAGTTGAATAAACACAAGGCAGATTAGCAGAGAGGACATCTCAAACTTCTTCTGGTGTATTTTTGGTGAGGGAACGTTTTAAAATGGTAAAAATCTCCAAAAACGACTAATACCCCGTCTTTATGGTACTTTTACCATACTGTGGAATGTTCCCAGCTAAACAATAACATTTCCATGGAGACGAGCAGGTGGTTGACCACATACCAGAAAAGTTACATAGTGCACCTTTAATTAAATTACATATTGCTAAATTCTTAATTAAATGCTTTAATTGATCATAAATGAACTGTTTCACTGAGTAAACTCGAAAGGACAGAAAATCACTAAATCTATTCAAGAAAGGTTCATTTCTGTTCTGTGAATGGGACTTATTTATTGTCGATACCAGATCAAATGAAAAAAATTATCTATTTCAATCCTAGTTTTAGTAATGATTAGTATTTGATTTTCAGTACTTCTGATGGCCCTGCAGACAGCACATATAGTACATTCACACTAGCACCATACATTATCCTAAACCAGGACTAAACCAGTCCTAGAACAGGACCATGTCAGGTCTATATCAGGCTGAAATCCAATAAAAATCCACCATATTATTTTTTACTTGAATGAGCCCCCCTGTGGGCACTGCTGTCCCTCAAGAGACAAGACCCCAGAGCCATCCTGCTCTGGCCCTGTCCAAAGTCCATTCTCAAATATGCATCTAAGAAAATAGAAAAAAAATGCAGAAAAATAATGATTTTAAAACTTACTGCATCCTTCATTATTTTGCCCGACTTTTCATCTCATCCATGTCCAGGTTTTCACCGTGTGCATCTGTCATGTCCCAGTGATCTGTATGATCACTCAATCATATAAAACTCAATCCAAACTGCACAATCCCAAAGCGGCCACGACTGTTATTTTCCCCGAGGAGGGTCGTCATGACAACACTTCTTCGGACAATTACTGTGGTTTAATGAGGGCTTGTCAGGCAAATGACGCCTGCACTGTTTCCATTCATTTGGAGCTATGGTGAGGTCACGTCAGGTCAGCAGGTCAGGAACTACTGGACAGATTGGGCAGTTCTGTTTTTTTGCTGGTTTTAAATCACACCAAAATACAAAATGGATTTAAACAACACATTTTCAGGAGCATGTCAAACTCAAGAGACTTGTTTAATCAGATCACCTCTTGTAGTTCTTTACAGTCAGATTGTGTTAAAATAAAAATCAGGTTAAGTCTAACTTGAGAAATAGTGCTTTAGACAGAGCAGAGCCTTCAGTTATCTTAACACCCCCAGGGAAAGTTGATGGCATCAACTGCAAAGTATCAATTGTTAATTCAATCTAAATTCACCCAAATATAAATAATCTGTGTCACTCAATGTAAAATCATATGCTCTATTTTTCAGACTATAAGTTGCACTTTTTTATGGTTTGGGTGTTTCCTGCAACTTACACTCAGGTGAAACTTATATATACTATTACTCCTGTACCACTGTCACTTGGCTCTACTGCACATGTCTCCTGTAGAAAGAGCCTCTGTTCTCTCTGTATCATGTCAGTCAATCGCACCATTACTTCTGCACCACTGAACAATGTAACATTTAAACAAACTTATAAAGACGACTGAGAAGACTGAACACAAATGTCCCCAAAAAGAAAATCAGATTTTGCAGATTACAAACTGCAAGTTGTGAAATCTGCAGCTGAAAACAGAAATCAAGCAGCAGAAAGAAAGTTTGGAGTGAGAAACATATGACACCAGGAGGATGCACCATGAAACTTTCCTGAAGTCACTGGATGGATGGACAAAGCCTGGACTTCAGTGACAACCATCCTGTGGGGATTCAGAAAGACCCGAATAATTCTAATTGGAACTGATGCTGAGTCTGACGACAGAGACACAGAAGAGTTTGCGGCTCTTTTTTTACCTCCGGAGGTCGAGGCCGAGTTGTTCAGAAGTGACACCAAGGATGAAGAATTGAATGGATTTAGTGATTTGGAGTGAGATGGAGAGTTTGGTAAACTTGTTCTGTTCCGTTGTTTATGTTATAGTTTATCTGAAGAACTGTTCATATGTGACGTTAACAGTCTGTTCTTCTCTCTTCTATTGTTTTTACTAGAACTTGACTTTACACAGGAAATGTTAGTTCCTGGTCCAGTGTTGTGCATGAACGAGTTCAAAAGAACGCGTTCATTGAACACGTTCATTTTTCAGTGAACTTTGAACTGAACGCAACACTTTTGTAAATAAAGAACTTGAACGTGAATTTGTTCAAATTATGTGTGATGAACGACGTACGTCACTGTTGGGGTTCAGTTAAACGTCGGAATTTGACGAGTGACGATCTGCTCGCACTTCACCTCGCGAAACCACAGCCGCGTGTCAACGCGAAGGCGACTCCACCGGCAGCTTTAGCGGAACGTACGGGCTCTTATGTCTCTCAGTGGGAAGTCAATCAAACTTGACTGGGCGCGTTTAGCTGCTTGTATTTACCTTCTGTACAGGCTGACCACGGCAAACGCAAGGCACTAATTAACAGTGTATGTGGATCTGGGCTCTTTCACATGATACACAACTGCCCAGGGAGCACAATGTGCTGATGGTAAATGCACAAATACAACAATAGATACATGCTCTCTGTGTATTTTGACGGGGACGCTCGTGTAGAGCGTCAAAAAATAGGATGGATCCTATTTTCTGAAATCTACACGCACAGGACGTGCTGCTCCGCGCGCGTATTATTTTACTTGGTACATATGTCAGTAACGCGCGTCACAATGCTTTTTTAACCTGGATTGAAACGGTGGGTTTTTCGTTTTTCTTCATACAAATTTGCTAAAATCACCGCGATATCAGCAGCGGTGAAACGCCGGAGGTGCGCCCGCGTAGACCGTGATCCTGAGCGAAAGGACAGACGCAGAAGTCCGCGCTCCACCGAACTAAACGCAGCTGACGCCCGATCGCACTCGGGGTTCTCTCAGAGACGGTCCTAGATTCCAAGTTCTAGTCCAGGATTAGTCCTGGTTTGGTCCTGGTTTAGTCTTGGTTTAGTCCTGGTTTAGTCCTGGTTTAGTCCTGGTTCAGTCCTGGTTTAGTCCTGGTTCAGTCCTGGTTTAGACCTGGTTTTGTCCTGGTTTAGACCTGGTTCAGTTCTGGTTTAGTCCTGGTTCAGTTCTGGTATAGACCTGGTTTAGTCCTGGTTTAGACCTGGTTTAGTCCTGGTTTGGACCTGGTTCAGTTCTGGTTCAGTTCCTGGTTCAGTCCTGGTTTAGACCTGGTTCAGTTCTGGTTTAGTCCTGGTTTAGACCTGGTTTAGTCCTAGTTTAGACCTGGTTTAGTCCTGGTTTAGTCCTGGTTCAGTCCATATACGGCGCAAAGGTTCAGCATCTTAACAGTTCTTTTGGTGAGAGTAAATTAAAAGTGCTGCAATAGTCATGTAATGTTTTACATTTTAAATACAGTAATATTGTAATGTAACAAATGACTTTGAAATGACAGTAACAAGTCATAAATAACACATTACAGTTTTAAAGTCACTTGTCCAACAGTGTATCTTGTAAAGTTGTTGTAAACTAGAAGTCAGTTTGAAAAATAAATGCAGCCTTTCATTTACAGATCTCATCTAAATATAAAATGAACTGAACTTTGAACTAGTTCAAAATTTAAATTGTGAACTATGAACGTGAACTATTCACTTTGAACAAGTGTGAACTGAACTTTGAACTAGTTCATGAAAAGTGTGAACTTGCACAACACTGTCCTGGTCTCTGATTTTATAAAACAAATTTCCCCCAAAAAGTGCGACTTATAGTCCAGTGTGACTTATATCTGTTTTTTTCTCATGACTAACACACCAGTCATTTACTATTAACCTTGTTTTTAGTGTCATCAACAGAA